CCCCAAATAAACCCATTTGTTCCTATTTGCATATCATATTAAACCCTATGAATATTATGCAAGTTATGAATCTTTGAAAAAATGAGGTTGTGAATTACATCAGGCGCTTGAGGAGGTAAAAGTGTTTTCTCCTCACCCCATAGGTCCTTGATGTATGAAAAAGAAAGAGGGAGGAAAGGGAATGTATTTGTGTTTTGTCCACCTGAACAACCTCGCGGAAATAATACAGTAATCCTTCTCCCAAAATGGAAGAAACTGTGCTGATGTTGTTTAAATGTTAAGGGCTCCTTTATTTATCTGTAAGAGTTATAAAAGAGCCATGACAGTACAGTGACTGATAGCCTAATACTAACAGCTTTATCATCAAATCCAGCCTACCAGGCAGAACATTACAGTTATTAAGGGAAATGAGGCACAAATAGAATCTAATATTTGAAAATGCAGCAATGGAAGCACTGAGGCTCGTTGCCGAGATTCTGAACCCTTGCAAAGCTTTTAGATGTCAATTGCTGTTTGGGGTATCCTGTATCCTTCAGGCAAAAAATGTACTCAACATTTGGACGAGTCCAACTTTAGACAACTAAAAAGAAACTTTCATGGAACAAATTCTCATGAGATTGTTTCTCGTATATCCTTGGGTGGGGGGGAAGCTGTCAAATAACCAGCGTTTTCCTACAGTAGTCAATAGTACAGCAATTCCGTTGCTTATCCACTCCTATTTTAGCAGAACAAGTTGTTTTAACAATCAGATATACCGTATGTGGATTTTACTTAGAAATATAGCATCTTGTTTTCCAGCTGCGTCAGAGACATTTGCAGCTTTTACTCAAGATGTAAGGTCAAAGGAACTGTTGGCTCTTCCTCATTCTACCATTTCTAGAATATGACATTTCTCAAACCAGCCTTTCCCAATCCGGTGTTCTCCAAACGGCTGGCTGGTTTGGCATTCTGATTGGTAATTCTGTACTACAACACTTTTAGCTGGCACCAAGATGAGGTAGGGCACTCCATACTCTGGTAAACTGCAGCATCTGTAACAGTTTCCTGATTGCTTTCTATGCTGTATTATCCTCTGATCAGAGCTGCTTGTTTGTCCCATGGGTTCCATGTGTTCTAGTTTATATTTGATTCAGTTCCACCTTGGATTCCAACACGTCTGCAGGTCATGTAGCTTTAATAATTGCTAACTGTTAGAAGAGAAAAAAAATCATATTGATTCAACCAGAATGTGTCCTCTGGTTTGTGTCCAGCAATATGTAACAGATTTATGATAGGCATTGGGCTGCATTAGAGTAGAGCTTCCACAATCCATTAAACTGGAACATAGAGAAATACCTGTTCCAAACATTTAACCGAAAGCGCTTTTACCAGCTTTCTGTTTACTTCACTCCAAAAAAGAATTGGAATGAGCAAGAAGCCAACCCCTAAATAATTATTTGTGAGCAGTACTACTGGGAATCTAGCCAGCAGAAATGCCTAATCTTCAAAGATCCTTGAAACTGTATTTACCAGAACTGTTGTCACAATTAGAAGAAAGTTAGTAGATTTCTTTAAACAGAATTAAGAACAAGCACTGGTTTTTCTGTCTCCTAGTCAAATAAATGATCTGTAATGATCCTTTGGGGTTAGATCAGACCAAGGGTCTTCAAACTTGGCAAATTTAAGACTTGTGGACTTCAACTCCCAGAATTCCTGAGCTAACATGACTGGAGGAGGAATTCTGGGAGTTAAAGTCCACAAGTCTTAAGGCTGTCAAGTTTGAAGACCCCTGAATCAGACAATAGTAAAGATAATATAGAACTAAATGCACACAGCAGATTAAATGTTGTTTCTCAAAGTATGCCATGACATTTGTTTATGCAACAACCAGCATTTGCCTAACCCAGAGCCCAAGAAATGGTGGGCTCCAGAAGGATGAGAACACATATAAGCTCCCATTGCTTTTTGATCCAAGTGTCTTTTTCCTAAGGAGTTTCTGCTGCAAACAGAAAAATGCTCACAATGTTCCTTCAACCAAGAGAGCTCAGCCCACATGTTTTCAGAATACGACTTGAGCCCATCATCCCCAGACAGTTAGAGGCAATGTCTCCATAACATGATATATGTTTAAACATTCACATTTACAGCCATTCTGACTTGAAGAACCTATGATAACTTGAGTACTGGATATAATTTTATGATAATACTTAATGAAAGTAAAATCTCCCATTTTATTTTAATATTCTGGCACTGTTGTGAATGAGGAATTTCTTCCGGACCACATTCCAATAGTGAAGAGCAAAGATCTGATCTTTTCTACCTCCTGTGGGTACACATGGACGAGTCGTGCCTTTATACTCTTGGAAATATATTTGTGTAATGATCAGTATAGCTGCTGGGGAAGCCAAAGGGGACAACTGATATATTCAAGAGAATACGTAGGAAATTGGCCCAGAATTCATACATAATACATTTGAGCATTTCCCGGAGGAGTTGCGTCAGGAGACTGATGAAAGGTGAAGGGATGTTCGTGTGAGCTAACAAAGGTGTGGAGTGCTATTCTCTCCTATATCCATCTTTTTGGGCATGACTCCAGGGCCTGCTAACATATTTTGTAATATCTGGGACTTGTGACTAAACATGATGAAGCTTTCTTTCATTTCCTTGGTGATAAAATGATGGAAATGTAGTTGCTGCTCTCTTGTAAAATATTTCAAGTGTCTATCTTGACTGCTTTTTAGTACCAATGTCCTCTGTCAGGGAAGAGTGACGTGTGATCTCTTTAAAATGCACATGAGAGGTTGAGTCAAACAATGATTGTCAGTGGGGCTGGTGTTTCCTTGCCAGCCTGTGCTCAAAATTCATCTCTCTCCCCAATCGTCCAGCCGCCAGCCCCTCTCAGCTGCTGCTTCCCAGGGCTTTCTCTCGCCCCCCCCCTCGCCCCCCCAGTACTGTTACTGGCATTTTGGGGGGAGTGGAAGATTCCTTTAAAAGAGAGAAAGAGCAGGCTGGCAGCGACAAGTACCAAATGTCTCTCTTCTACACATTGCTTAAATCCCAGCCCCAGCTGATTAATCATACAGTCAGGCTGCTTTGAGCTTATCGCTTTCCTTAATAGCTGAATAATTTAAAGCTTCTGTTTGTCAGCGTCTTAATTCCTTTTGCATTAGACACAAAAGCCACCAGGAATTCAGAAAGGGAATAACCCCAGTAGACTCCCTTTATCATTTGGCATCTCTTTTAACTGGCTTATTGGTGGGGGGGAGGGGGGGATAAACCTGGCTGCCAACAGAATATTTCCCATCTATATGGGGAACTAAGGGGACAAATGTCTGTCATGGTACATAGATTCTTATTCTTGGGAAGGCTTTAAGATGGCCATAAAATTGTCATGCAGTCAAAGATGTCTGACTGTAATAGGGAGTGCTGGGCAAGGACTGGGGAACTAGAAACAGTGTGACATGAAGAGGGTAAGACATTCTAGATTTATCCCTAGTGAAAGTGGGGAGAGGAGAATTTCTAGAGTTCTTCACTTGTTTTGAATTCTAGCTTCCATCAGTCTCCATCAGCATGATGAATAATGCTCACTTACTTATTTGTGAACTGTGAGTTCAGAGCTGAGGGATGCAATAATCAGGATCACCAGGATTAAAAAGGGATAAGACCACATTTTTTTAACAGTGCTCCAAGTCCTCAAAATGCAGACAAAAATATCCTTTCCCTTAGCTACCCTGTTGATGTTTTAAAAGTGTTGCAAACCATCTTACTAAGCCTTACAGTTGCACTACCAAATGTTGGTGGTGTGAGAGCACCTGGAAGGAGGAGGCACACATAGACTTCCATACTACATTACCTTCTCAGTTTGGATGCTATCAATATACATGAAGATGATGTGGGTTGAGTTACCAGCTAGCACTTCCCCATCCTCTTCCAGGTCTCAGGTGGACATGGCGCACCCCTAAAAATTGTTACATCTGGTGGTAGGACTCATTTCAAATTTTGATCATTCATAGGTACTTTGCAGTTAGCCTCTTTTATTAATCTCTCTGTGTATGTTATATTATTATATTATGCTACAATCATATTATATTACATTATATGAGACACATCACAAATTATATTATACCAGAGGACTAATTCCTTAGTGTACACACTATCAAATGGATTTATATTTTATGGTTATTTCTTTTAAAAACCAACAAGCAAAAGGTCTCCGCTTCAACTTATTCTAGTCTAAGAGCATCTCACATGGTTCTCTGTATAATGTTTGGCTACGTAGTTATTAAATCTAATGCATTAAATCATTTATACCAGCAATGTCTCTTTGGTCTTCATCTCAGACATAGTCAATTGATTATCACTGCTCTTAATACATACCGGCTGATGTTTGATTATATAAACCCATTTATGCATGGTATTTTCATGAAATCATTACCTTGATAATAGCGCTGATAGTGTCCTTCATGGCTGGTCTTCTGATGGCAGGCAAAAGCATTCACCTTTATACAGGTGTTTAGCTTACAGAGTTGAATTGGAGATTTTTTTTTGGTTTGTTTGTTTTGGCTGTTCTGAATTTTAAACTCTATTTTAATTTAATGAAGTTTTAAGAGGCCTCTTTTGGGGTATGCTCTTATTTGGCTTTCAGTTGGTTTCAGTTCTTTTTGCCATTATTAGGCACTTCCTATTCCATCTCTGATAGAAAGGTGGTCTGTAAATAAGCAATATAAACAAGAGGTCAAGGAATGGTCCCACTGAAGAGAGATAGCCAGCATGCAGCTATGTTGTTGTGACAAATTGATGATAATCAGCTCCACAGGAGATGCTGGGCATTGCCAGGAACAATCCTTCAGCTGATGTCACTCTTCACAGCTCTCCTAATGGAGTGAATATATCCTGCTAATGGAGGGCATATATCCTTTCACAAAAGCAACTCGCCTTCTTTCCTTGGCAGAGAACAATCATATTTGTCAAAGAGATCTCTAGACCTCAAGCACGCTAAACTTGTCCCTTGTCTTTTGCAGCCACTGTAATTCTCAATGAACTGAATTGGACAGAAGCCTTAGAGGATGTGTTTGTGGAAAACCGAAAAGAAGACCCGTCTCTGCTGTGGCAAGTCTTCGGCAGTGCTACAGGGGTAACCCGCTTCTATCCAGGTTTGTACCATTCTCAATTAACAGAGTGAAAATAAAATTTAAACAGTGGGGTTGCATTTAAATAGCTGGGTTTTGAGCTGTTACATTGGGAGCAGCAGCACAGTCATGGCTTTCACATTAGAAGAAGTGAAGTGCACTACTTTCCTGGTCGTCCTAGGCCATTCATTGTTAGGGAAGGATCACTGTTACTCTTCCTCCTGTTGGGATGGATAAGAGCTTCCTTGCTGGAGAATAAAGAAGTCTCTGCCTTCTTTATTTCTCTGCTCTTCCTTTTGATTCCAGGTATCAAGGTATGGCCAGAGGTCAGCTCCACTAAGTAGATCAGATCCTGAAATCAACCCCACAGGAATGGTCAATGTACTTTTATTGAGACTGGCAACAGTATCAGAAACTTTCAAGTATGATTGTACTCATCTCCTTCTTTTTCTTATACTTCAGTGAATTAGAGAGGCATCTGCCTGAGCCATTTCCTAATGTTATCTCATTTAAAAAATGTTTCAGCCTCTTTTGCCTAGCTAAACAGTTCCTGCACATTTCCATCAAGGTCGGCTTTCTTATTTCTCTTCACGTGGTTGTGATGTCAGAGAAGGAGGTTGGTTAATCCTCTTCTCTGTCAACCACCAAACATTTGAGGTAACTTATGGCATCCAGAGGGGATGCGGTGGCTCAGTGGCTAAGACGCTGAGCTTGTTGATCAGAAAGGTTGGCAGTTTGGCGGTTCGAATCCCTAGTACCGCATAATGGAGTGAGTCCCCGTTTCTTGTCCCAGCTTCTGCCAACCTAGCAGTTCTAAAACATGTAAAAGATGCAAGTAGAAAAATAGGGACCCCTTTGGTGGGAAAGTAACAGTGATCCATGCACCTTCGGCATTTAGTCATGCTGGCCACATGACCATGGACGTCTTTGGACAATGCTGGCACTTCAGCTTAGAAACAGAGATGAGCACTGTCCTCTAGAGCCGGAAATGACTAACACACATGTGCGGGGGAACCTTTACCTTATGACATCCATGGGCAACTTTTAAAGCTTGTATCCATTTATTTGCCTGCTTTCTCACAAAATATCTAGGATTTTTGTACATTCGGCCAACTATTTTAATTTCCACAATGACCTAGACCAGCGGTCGCCAATCGGTGGGCTGCAGCCCACCGGTGGGCCGTGAGAAAATTTGGGTCGTCCGCAGAGAAATCTCACCCCCAGAGCACCCCTCCCAAAGCAATTAATCCAGGCTGTGCAGAAACACAAGGCTGCGCCGCCCACATGGCCCGCGGGAACCCTCCCCGCCCACTCACTCCTTACCCAGCAAACTTGCCTACTAAATTGCTATTTTTCCTTTTTCCGACCATCATCTGTTCTGCTCTGCCGGGAGATTTAGATTAGCTAGGAAGCAGGAAATGGTTGGCTTTCTTGCTTTCTAGCTAGTCTTTAGATCTTCGGCTCTGCTTTTAAGCACAGCCGAACCTCCCTTGGGACTGAAGTTTCTATTATTCAGTGCAGACTCACGGCAAGAAAATTTGAGAGATTGAGCTAGCCAATGGCAGATCACTGAATGATTCTGTGAGCAACTCAATCTGCCTGCCTGCTTTGCCTGATTTTGGGTAAAAGTTGCTCTTTTTTATTAAAAAAAATCAATATTTATATAAATATTTATAATATTTACATACAAGCCATGCCCAGCCAGTCACATGACTACCAAGCCACACCCACAAATTAGGCCATGCCCACAGAACCAGTTAGAGGTACCTGGGATTTAAAATTATGAGTTTGGTGGTCCCTGAGGTCCAAAAGGTTGTCGACCTCTGACCGAGATCACATTAGGGATGTTATGCAAATAAAGTAGCTGAACCTACTTTAAATCTGACAGTCAGGACATTGTCCATGGTTCTTTTGGAACCATGGCCCTTATTGGCCAGGACCAAGGTCCATGCTGGACAAAGAGGTGAGTCTATGGGGAATATTATGGCTTTGAGAAGTTGAAGGTCTAACAGCACCCAGGAAAAGGAGAGAGGATCTCGGCCCACCACTCAAGAATCACTTCACCCCAGGGGAGGAGGTAGCATGAGAAAGAGACCCAAAGCAACTCTACTTTAATTTCAATAGGTGCAGGATGGTCTGGAGAAGTCCTGTAATGGGCTTGTAAGAACCTGGATTTTACTGAACTAGCAATACAGTTCTTTGCAGAAGACCCAGTGGTTTTTGGTTTCCTAACTTTGCTTGCCTTGATTTAGAGAGAACTAGGACATTGGGGTTCATATTTATTTGTTTAATTAATTAATTGATCAATTAATTCGAATGGTGCCTGATTCTCAGCAATTCTAATCTATGAAGGGGAATGTGAAGCCTTTTGAAATACCTAGCTAATCCTTCTGTAAGAATTGCCCTACAGTATCAACCTTAGAATGGTGAAAAATCACACCATTCATTTTCAGTATTCATGCCACCAGTTTTCAGTAGCACAGCCTCAGGTATTCTGCTGGCATAAAAATTTGGATTGCAAACCTATGTGAAGTTCTGAGGCTGCTGACTGTTTTCCCAGACCCACTGGCTTTGATGAAGTTATATCTTCTCTGCTTGAAAATGCTATTCTGAATTCTTGAGAGGTATAAAAAATATAAATGGCAATAAACATATCATTCATATGAATCTTCAAAGAATTCTGAAGCAGGAATAGAAAGGTTCTGTCAAAAGTCCTGAGGTCCAAACTGCTGGTTAAATTGGGAAGCCAAGTTTGATGTAAACATATGCTCTCCATTACTGTATAAACCTTGTAAATTATTTATCAAAATAGCAAAATGTGTATTTTTCAAAGGCAGGATAAGCCAAAGAGATGTGTTTGGCTGAAATGTTAACTGCTTTCTAATTCACATGTTCCAAAGCAAAGAATAGTGTTTGAAGTGTGTGGAGTGGGGGAACCAACCCTTCCAAACACTTCAGATTAATATGGGCTTTAAACACATTTCTTTCAGGGCCAGTGCATTGTGACAATAATAGGTATTTGAATAACACAAAAGTTACAGCTGCTTTTCCTCCCAGTTTTACATATTCCAGTGTTCTTGTTGCTTAATACCACTCCTGGCAGAGAAATCTTTCCATGTCAGCTTTGCTGTCTCTGCCTTTCTCTCCCCAAGTTCCCTCATATAAACACATTTTGTATCTCAAAAATCATTATAGCTTTCACTGCTTCTTCTCATTGCAGCCTCCCCATGGAGAGCCCCCAATAAGATTGACCTGTATGATGTCCGAAGAAGGCCTTGGTAAGTAGGGGAGCATAGTAGAGTGGGGAGTTAACTATGCTGCATGTTTTAAGAATAAAACAACTTAGCAACAAAATTCAGAGCAATGGGCCAGCTCAAAATTTAAGTGAGTTTATTGATTATCCTTATACTTTAATCTTCCTTGGAAAACAAAAAATGAGATGCTCTTACCTCAGTCTTCCAGGAAATACCTTTCTCTGTCATTGTACAGGTGCAGATGAGACATGCCTAGATTTTAACACTAACTCTTTTTTTTCAAATACTTAAGTCAAACAATATACAGTTTCAGGCTTTATCGAGATGAGCAATAGCTGCCCCCCTAATGGTAGTAATATAACATAGTTCGAAAGGCTATCCGGGCACATGGACTCTCTATGTGATTTGCTATTCTATTTTCCCTCTTCAATCAGCAAATGGTGAGGTGTGCTGAGATACTGGAGATAGGTTTTAAAGGGGAAAGGTCTCTAGATGGAGCTCATGTATTGAAGAAGAATTAGATTACAACAAATAGATATTAGCAAAAGCTGTAAATGACCCAAACCAGAAGAGGTCCCAGGAGCAAGGGAACTGTGGTGGTTTAACATATTATTTCTCATTATAGCCTGATCTAGATTGGGAGGAGGACTGCTTGAGGATTTTATTTCCAAAAATGATTCAAATGTGTGTGTGTGTGTGTGTGTGTGTGTGTGTGTTTTAAATGAAAAACTTTTTTGCCTGTTTAAATTATAGGCATGGATAAAATAAAGTTACCCACACAAACTGAGGTCTTGAATTATATTAGGTCCCCATGCTTAGTTTAGATTTTTTTTTGAAAAAAATTGCTGTAGTTCTTCTATACATTTGAAGTAATGTAGAGTTCCTTTTTGTGGCAGTTTCCTTTAACCACAGCACTTGCGTTGGAATTAAAAGTAATAGACTGAGGAAGTAGGTTGCATTTTCCCAGCAACAATATACAGTACTGGAGTTTAACTACTAGAGAGATGGAATATATGCTTGTGGGTCTGGATCCTCTTTCTCAAATGAATAATCCACATGCACTTTTGCCGAGCAAGCAAACAATTGTCTGAATGGATCTTTAAAACAATATGACAAACAATAATGTCCATGGGAGGCATGATGGAAGACACAGTTTTGCAATACAGGTCCCAGTTCTTTTGTAGGTTCTTTGGCTTGGCATCCCATCTACCCTCTTTTGACACCTTTTTATGAATACCAAAGTTCCAAAGAAGATAATTGAAGAAGATATCAGGGTCAATTTCTCCTGTTACGTTGTCTTTGAACTATGGAGGTATCTCCATCATTTCATTGTGTTTCTGAATATCAGACATGCACTAGAATTTTGATTCAAGTTGGTCTCCTGTGAGTTTCACTCATTTTTTTAATACAGTAACTAAGCATAGTAGTAAATAAACCCTGTGATATCATCAGGAGTCCTTGACCATCTTCAGATGTTACATTTAATCAGAAATCCTTAATGTGCCATAATGTCATCAAGTACTATGCTAGTAATCCAGCTTCATCTCTTCTTTAAAACCATGTGAGCAAAGCAAGCAGGCATACTTTCATATTTTCGCCAAAACCAGGTTTAAGTTGGTCTAAAACTTCATGATGGTAAGACAGCTCTTAAGTTGCTATATATCCTAGGTTATCTCACTTTACTTAAGTTACCAATATTGGACATCACATGAACTTTCCTGGTTTGATTACCTAGTTCTCTCATGTATAGGGGAAAAAATGAAATGAGGATATTGTAATTTCTTAAATTACCATTTCATTATCCGGAACAACCAAGAGATTCTGGTCAGAATATTTTTTTTCCATTTTATTTCTTTCATGGGTTTGGTAAGAGAAAAAAGAAAAAATGGGAAGAACATTTAGAATACTCTAACCAGTTTTGGTCACCATGTTATAAAAAAGATGTAGAGACTCTGGAAAGAGTGCAGGAAAAAAAGCAACAAAGATGATTAGGGGGTTGGAGATTAAAACATATGAAGAATGGTCGCAGAAGTTTATTTATTTTATTTATTATATTTGGTTTGTCAATTGCTTACAAGATAATAGGTATAAGTAAAAGCATAGTTATGAATACATGGATACATATAAGAAAAATAAAAGAAACAATAGGACAGGGACGGTAGGCATGTTGTTGCGCTTATGCACGCCTCCAATTGACCCAAAGGTGCCTCTTCAAAAGGCAACTAGACTTTCTGGTTTTCCTTTGAAGACATTTTGCTTCTCATCTAAGCAACCTAGAACTAAGGAGAAATTTCCTAATAGTAAGAACAATTAACCAGTGGAACAGCTTGCCTTCTGAAGTTGTGGGTACTCCATCACTGGAGGCTTTTAAGAAGAGAATGGACAGCCACTTGGCTGTAATGATATAGGTCTCCTGCTTGTGCAACTCTGTTATTCTTCTATATATTCTGTTATTCTATTATAACCTATTTCTGCATAACATTATTGCAATGACACATGGTAGCACATATGCACAAGCACATATACACCAGAGGTGGTATTCAGCAGGTTCTGACCAGTTCTGGAGAATTGGTAGTGGAAATTTTGAGTAGTTTGGAGAACTGGTGGTAACCTTCCCCCAGGAGTGGGGAAGGAATGGAGACTTTACAGTATCCTTCCCCTGCCACACTACAAGCCACACCTACCAAGCCATGCCCACAGAACCAGTAGCAAAACATTTTGAATCCCACTACTGCCCGCCCCCATCCCGAGTGCCAGCTGGGTCTTCTTTTGTTGCCCTACACAGGAGAACGAAGCTGGAAAGCAGGTTAGTGGGGTGGGGAGGGAATGGAGGTTTTGCAGTAACCTTCCCCCGAAGTGGGGTGGGAATGGAGATTTTACGGTATCCTTCCCCTGCCAAGCCCGCCAAGCCATGCCACGCCCACCAAGCCGCACCCACAGAACCAATAGTAAAAAAAATTGAATCCCACCACTGATACACATACACACACACCATGTTCTACCCCAGTCTTTATAGAAAGAAAAGCCATTGTGGCAGTAAAAATGTCAGGGAATAGATCACACATGTAAGAAAATCTGTGTCACGCAGGGCAGCAATTCCTATAAGGAGATGCTTATAAAATGGCTGCTAGAATGTAGCAAAAGGAATTAGAGAAGGGAGGGAATCCACAACCCTTCTGGGTTTCTGTTCAACTTTTCTGCTTCTGTAAACGCTCTCAAATATCTTGAGCTAGCAGAGCATTTGGAGTAATGAAATGTAAATGAGCCCGGTACTTCCACTCCAAGGGTCTATTAAACTGAAGTAGGGCTTACTCAGGCCATGGGTGCGTGCAGCCATCCAGAAGACTCTATCCCCCTCCCCCTTTCCTGACATCTCTCTGTCTCTCTGCTCCCTCCTTCCCTCCACTAGCCTGTATGAAAATTCCAGGTCTGTGAGCAGCCAGCTCTGTCCAATTTTCATTTCACACATCGTTGCCATTGGAAAATGGATACAATAACACAGACAGGGGCATCCGAGCTGCAGCTCTCATCTGCTTCGACTTCTTCCCCTCCCTCCCGTTGTGTCTCGGGAGAAAAGAAGGAACCAAGGCAGGAGAGATGGAGAGATGATAACCTTAGATACAGATAAAAGAGACAGGAACCCTCTGCCCTTCCCAAGAATGTTGCAATTGTAAATTTTGTCTTAAATTTTGCAGGCAGCTCAGATTGGGGCTTTCGCCTTAGGCGGTGGCAGGAAGAGAAAAACAAAAAAACAAATGCTTCTCTAAGACAGAGCTAGAAGGACAGAAAGAGAAATACCTCGCAGGGGGGACAGATTACATTTCAGGGAAAGCTGCAATCATCAATTCAGCCACACAGCAAGTTTAAGTGTGATTGAACCCGTTAGGATTAGCCTAGGTAAAGGCGCTGGCTTGTCAATGCTAATTATGCCTGGACAAGTGCAGAGTGCTTCAGATTTAATTTTCCTCTATCTATTTTGAAGCTTTTGTAAATTGGGGGAAGAGGGCCGGCCTCCTACAGATATAGTACATAAACAGACACAAAGGAAATTATGGTGCCTTTGCCTTCCAAATGGAAGGTAAACAGCCTCCTTTTCAGCACTTCATTTTGCCTGTGTCTAAAAAGACCTGTTTGTACAAGGAGCACCAAGAGATGATTGGTGCTCCTTGCACTATCTGCTTTTTCTCTCATCCGAGAAACTACATTTCTTCTTCAAACAAGCATTAGTAGCCTGCAAAAATAGGAAGAAAACAGACATGTTGAGCAGAAAGTCCTGGCTGGAGAGCAAAAAGAAAAAACAATGGAGTATTCCATTTATTTGTTCCTTCATTTTTGACATTTATATAGCCACCCCTCTCACAATAAAGTGACCCTAGCTAGCTTACAATAAAAACAATAACAATAATAATAATATCCAAATTTGAAAGACTACATTGAAAAAGCATTTAACAATATTTTTTATTAACAATAGTGAATTGATGTTAAAAACAATGAAATCATTTTGTCAGCTTATTGTGGCCTTGAAATCTCCAGACCTGCTGACTCCAGTGTGTTTTAAGGCAGCGGTCGCCAACCAGTGGGCTGTGGAAAAAATTTGGTGGGCCGCAGAAGAAATGGCCCCCAAAAGCAATTAATGTGGGCCACACAGTTCTTGCGCCTCCTGGCTCTCTGGAGGACCCTGGAGTCAGGCCACTGAGATGCACACGCCAACCAGCTCCTACACCTGGCAGCGGCGGCAACAGCAGTCCCCTCCTCCAGCGCCCACTGTCAGCTCTAGCATCCTGTGGTAGCATCCTGAGTTGCCTTAGCATGCTCGGTTAGTTAAGAATCGCCCTACCCAGAGAAGGAAGTGGTGCTGGAGGAGGAGGAGGCAGTAGTGGAGAAGCAAGCAACTCAGGCCGCTACCGCTGTGGTGGCTTTGCCTGTGTTTCCGAGGCTTCGATGTTGGGAGAGGCAGCAAGGGCTGGAAGAGGGGAGAGCTGTGCACGGCTCCGTCTCCCTTTCCTGCCTACATGTCGGCGGGG